AGCTAGATGAGTGGGAGCCCGGATTGTATCTCGGCTTCCCACTAATTATTGTAGGTTGTATGAATTTTGTTTTTGAGATATAATAATAATAATAGTAGTAGTAGTAGTAGTAGTAGTAGTAGTAGTAGTAGTAGTAGTAGTAGTAGTAGTAGTAAGTAGTAGTAGTAGTAGTAGTAGTAGTAGTAGTAAGTAGTAGTAGTAAGTAGTAGTAGTAGTAGTAGTAGTAGTAGTAGTAGTAGTAGTAGTAGTAAGTAGTAAAGTAGTAGTAGTAGTAGTAGTGAAATCTTCTCTGCTATACCCTGCCTAGAAACTCTAAAGAATAGGATCTTACTCATTTTATTGCATGAAATTTTTACTAACATGGTTTTTGTTAGGAAAAATTGCAAAAAACAATCTTATGTAACAACTTTTTTTTTTTGTAAAAAAACACTTTTTTTTTTTTTTTTTTTTTTTTTTTTTGCGAATTAACACCTTACCTTGGTTTCTGTCCTTTGACTTTGTTTTCCGCCATTGACTTGCACGTGTTCCAGTGAGTTCCCACTTTTTTTTCCCCAATATACCCTCCATTTCTCTAATTCAACTTTCTCTCTCATCCCTTCTTCTCCAACAAAGTCCCAATTACTCACTATTAACGAAGGAAACTCCATTTTTAAGTGTGAATTGTTGCAATTAACCTAATTTCGAGTAAGATAAGTTGTTGTAATTACTTAAATTTCTTGTAAATTATGTTGGGTTTTCGAATTTTCATAATTAGGGTTTGTAATTAAAAATTTGGATTCTTCATTTTTGCCTACAAATGATGGAATTAAGAGTAATTTTGAAAGGCCGATGTACACCAATGTGGTCTTTAATTTTTTTTTTTTTTTTTTGGTATGTGCTTGCTCTATTGGACTTCAATGGAGGAAGGGGGTGAGAAGATGGGGTGGGGTTTTGGGTGGATGGGGCTGAATGAACAGGGGTACGGTGGAATTTTCATGGGAGCAAGTTTATTGGGTGAGATGGTGTTGGTGAAAGTAGTAGTGAATTAGTGGTGTCGGTGAGGTGGTGTTTGTGGGGGTGGCAATGAGGTGGTGTTGGTGAGGGAAAAGAGAAAAAAATAGAGAAAGAAGATCACATGATCCACATGTGCAAAGTCAACACCGGAAACTCAAGTCAAACACCGAAAACTGGTAAAAATTCTTGGGTGGACCTGGTCCACAATAAAAATTTATTGTGGACCTTATGGTCTCACATGCCAATTGCCTCAAAACACAGCCCAACCCACTGACTTGTTTCACAAGCTTACTAACAACTCTTTTGCCACAGCCTACTAACTTCCTTCCCAAGCCTTATTTTCAACGCCATTAACAACTATCCTAGAGCTCGAATTTTCATCTACCTCCTTCTAATTCTACTCAATTCTAGGGTTTATTTTCTGCCTAATCAATCAATTTCTTCAAAATTCATGGATAATTCTTCTATACAATCAATTGAAATGGATCTAAATCGAAGTATATAGGACACTATAGAAAACTTCAACATTAATGTCATCAATTTCGATCTGAATGAAGCTGTTGAAGATGAAGAACGAACTACTATTGAAGCTAAGGATGGGAGTGAAGTTCATGAGGAAAATCAACCTCTAATGCAAGCTCAAGTTATTATACGATATATTTATATACAATTCATATTAAAATTTGATAATGTGAATTAAGCGATTATGCAATTGTTTGATTGGAAAATTAAATTAGGTATTTAGGTATTAATTTGATAATGTGAATTAGGCGATTATGCAATTGTGAATTAAGCGATTATGCGTAATTTATGTTGATTGAAAATTAAGCGATTATGCGTAATTTATGTTGATTGAATTATGCGTAATTGTGAATTAAGTGATTATGTAATTGTGAATTAAGCGATTATGCATAATTAAGCCACTTTTAAGTAACATAGTTGCCTTTCGTGATAGTATATTGATATATTTTTTTAAAATAAATACATGGTACTTATATGATGCTTGTTAAAGCTTTTCTGACATGCAAAGCCACTTTTAAGTAACATAGTTGCCTTTATTGATAGTATAGTGATCTATTTTTTAAAATAACAGGTGCAAGTAATAATGATGAGATTAGTGGTTGGTTAGTAGGAGAAACTCGAGCAACACTTGCAGAAATACATGAATTATATTGTCAACATGCTGCTGCAGTTGGTTTTAGTGTTAGAAAAGCAAAACAAACAAGCAAACTTGGAACTAAAGATATCATCACCAAAAAGTTCTTTGTATGTTCTACAGCTAGATTAAGAAATTCTTGTAAAAAGAAGGAAAAAATTCTAGAAGAACTCTTGACAAAGGAAAGTTCTTCGGTTAAAAAAAAAAAGACAAAGTAGGAGAGTTCCAATAACAAGGACAAACTGTAATGCTTTGATAATAGCAAAATTGAATGAGGAGGGGCAATTTGAGATAGTTCAGCATGTGTTGGTGCACAATCATCCACTCACTAGACCACAATGGAACTATTTCCACCGTTCAGAGCGTGCAATGACTAAAATTAAAGGGCAAGTGATTGAGGCCATGCAAGAATCTGGACTAAGACCTATGGAATCCTTTAATTACATGTCAAATGAAGCAAGAGGAGAAGATGTTATTTTTCATTCAGTGAAATACCACATGAATTATTGTTATAAACTGAAAATAAAGGCCATTGAAGGAGGAGATTCTCAAGTAGTTTGTGACAAATTACAGGAAGCTTATTATGAGGTCCCTAACTTCTTTTTCAGAGTAAGGTTGGATGCAGATGGAAGGGTTTGTAACTTGTTTTGGAGGGATTCCATGATGCTTGAAGATTACAAAATATATGGGGATGTCACTGTACTTGACACCACATATAGGACGAATCATCAACCTCATCTGTGCACCCTTTGTAGGAATAAACAACCACTTGAAGAACACTATGTTTGCTTGTTCTTATATTGGTGATGAGACCACATATTCATTTGTGTGGCTATTTGAGACCTTCAAAAAGGTAATGGGTGGTAAATGTCTTGTCTCACTATTTACACACCAAGATGCAGCCATGGCAGCAGCAATATCAAAGGTAATTTCTAATTTTGAAGGAACTTTTTGAATACCACTACATCTAAATATGTTTTTACTAAAATTATATTTAGTTACCTCTATTTTAAATGTAGTAACCATTTTTGAAACTATAGTAACTGTATAAAAATGTGCAGGTATTTCCAAATACTAGACATAGATTATGTCTATGGCACTTGATTCAAAATGTTGTAACAAGATTTGGAGTTTTGAAGAGTGATGACACATTCAAAGCTGCTTTCATGAAATGATTGAATGGTTGTATTACTGAAGCTCAGCTTGAAGTATATTGGGATTCAATGACGACAAAGTACAAACTGAAAAACAATAGTTGGTTCAAAAGGTTATTCTCACTAAAACACAAGTAGTCAGCAGCTCTAAGTAAGGACTTTTTCTCCGCGGGAATCTTTTCGTCTCAGAGAAGTGAGAGTACAAATCACGCAGTGGGATTCAAAGCAAACAAGAAGATAAGTTTGACAGAATTCTACAACATATTTCAAAAGATAGTGAAGACTTGGAGAAGGAATGAGGATTTTTATGAGTTCAATAGCACAAAATCAATTCTACTTCTAGTTATCCAATGTCTGCCTTACTTAAACATGCTGCTGAGGTTTATACACATACATTATTCAGGGACTTTGAAGAAGATCGAATTCAACCTAGCCATTGGATCTCAAACTAAACTGCTATTGATTAATGGAGGAAAAATGGTTTACCAAGTGTACCTTAAAGGCAGAGATGGCACAACTCAAGCAGTAACTTATGATCCAGTAAACCAAACAATTCAATGTCCATGCAAGAATTTTGAAGAGTCGGGTTGGTTATGCTTCCATAGCCTTAGAATCTTGCACATGCATTCTGTTGAAAAAATCCCAGAGCAATACATATCTTCTAGGTGGACTAAAATGGCTAAGGTAGAAGTTTGGAAAAGTATGGAGGCAGAGCAAAGGATGAAGGGGACATTAAACAACTTCACACCATGGCGGCTACACATGGTGAGAAAGTATTATAGTCTAATCCTTAAGAGCCACAAGTTTGAACAAGCAAGGAAAGCTTAGAAAAAAGCTTCGCGAAAGACTACTCAAGTGCAATAGTTTAGATTATTTCTGCTATGAATTCAACTGACAACCATTCTGAGAACACTACAGGTGTAGAAGAGAATTCAGAAGCAACTTTATCTAGTGTGGTTCAAGTAGAGGACCCAGCTTGTGCAAAAACATAGTGTCTTTTGTTATCATATAGTGTCTTTTTAATTTGATCTTAATCCTTTTCAAATAAACAAGGAATAAAGCACATGAGTACTGTAATACCTTGTACCCAAAGCCTCCTTCTCTAAACTTGTTGTTAATTGGTAGTTTGTTGTACTACACGGAAGGCTCCTTTTAGTTGTTAAAGCTATCTTGTTTCAATGTTTCCTGTGATCAACAGATAAGAAATCAAGAAAATGAAATGCTCAAATCTTACAACTAACTACTGATTATTATGATATAGTCTCTTTTATGATTGACATAGTAACCTTTAATTTTGAGATATATACTTCTTGGAATAGTAACCTTTTTTACAATATAGTGATCTTTATTTTAAAATAGTAATCTTTATTTAATACCCTTGTATTGTCAGTTTGTTACCATTAATTAACATAGTCCATAATTTTGACATAGTTATCTTTATATGTAGAATAGTAACCTTAATAATAAAATAGTGACTTTATTTTGACATATAGTGACCTACAATAATTACCATTAATTTAAAACATAGTCCTTAATTTTGACACTATAAAATATTGAAAACGAAGTGACCTTTTTTCACCAAACAACGACCTTATAAAAATATAGTGACTTTATTTTAACATGTAGTGACCTATGATAACAGAGAACTATAATAATTGAATTAAACAAACAATATACCATTTACATAAAATATTGGCAAAAGCTTGTTTACACAAAATGAATATTTTTCCAATCTTCATTTAATAACCTACACAAAAGTTGAATGAATACTAATTAGCTATACAATCTTCAAAGTACTTTGCTTAGCATCAGAAAATTATGATCACAACTAAGTCAAAAAATCAGTTACACAATGTTTTGACATCTTAAGCCTTTCCTTTCTTCTCCTTGTCTATAGTCGGCTTCTTCTTATTCTTCCTCTGTTCGTTCAATTTCTTTCTTCCTTATTTCTTCAACCTCTTTTGAAAGACGCTGCCTATAAGGTTTGAATCCAGCCACCTTACCAATTACATTTGATCTAGCTTCATTCATATCAGATAACACCAAAGATGCAGCAATTTGAATCCGGAGAATCTTCCTATTGGAAGCCTAAAAAAGTAAATTAGCAATATAAGATATTGTGATATCAATTAAAAGAAATAAAACAAATAATGTAAAAGGGATAGAATCATAACTGTTTTTAAAATTTCACATTTAAACTCATCAGCTCCATTGAATAAAAGCATGCTCATTATAGTATAAACACCAAAATCAGAATTATCTTTGCTAGATCTCCAATTCAAAGTAGGAAACTCCAAAGCGTAGTCAACCATAGCTCTAGATTGAGTAAGCCTTTTATCAAAGAAGGTATTGATCATATCACACTAGCAAAAAAACATATAATCAAATCACAGTTGCATTAAATGATCTATTAACAATCATTATCATAAACATCCTGCAACAAATTATCTTAGTAACTATGTTAACAATCTAAACCAGGGACCATCAAGGTAGTGCAAACAATGAAATACAACCATACCAAAATGTATGGCCCAAATGTAGATAGCTCACAAGAACAAACTTTCCAATAAAATGCACAGAAAATTTCTCAAATTAGGGTGTTCTAAGGTTCCGATGTTACAACCAGATCATTCTTAGAATAAAGTAATATATACTTCATACTAAAGAAAAACTTGCTTTCTTGCCTACCCAAATTTGATTCACATTCTATATGGGGATTGCTTGACATAAAAGTTAAAAGTAGTATAGAAACTATTTTAAGCTTCAAGCACCTAACTACAGTCCAAAATGTGAATTCAAGAGGTGTATAACAGAGCCCTTTTCTTACCACTTTACCAGGCATTACAACCCCATGAAACAGTACCATTGGTAGACTACTACAAACCCATATTTCTAGTCCATCCAGCGCTTAGCTTATATCAAAATACTAACACAACAAATGATTAACACCCAGCTTCATCCAACAATAAATAATTAATGACCAATTACAACCCATAATCAGTCATAACTCATAACCTTGAAAATAGAGGCAAAACTCCATAGTAGACAAGAATATAAGACCTTGACTAATGCTGTACAAATTACAGACTTCAGAATTACAATTTCCTATTTAAGAAGCTATCATAGTAATAGAAAATATGCATATATAATATCCATACCAACACAAACAATGGCATTGAAATCTGCAGCATAAAAATTTCAAACTAGTTTAACATATGTCCAAATCCTAATTCCTAAAACTCACAATCAAATCCTATTAGACAAGAAAATAGTGAGAATATGGAAGAGTGAGAAAGTAATACCAAGAGACTAGAAAACTTTTTCAAGAAGATACGATTATCCTCATCATAATTCATATTATCAATTCAGTCAAATTCACCACAAATAATAAATAGTGACTGCCCCAAAGACAAGGTAAAAATATCTGCAAAAATGATACCACCATTAGTTAGAAAAAAAAAACACATGTAGATTCCATTTTTTATATTATAGTGACCTCTTTTAAATATATACTTATGCAATTTATAATAGGCACTCTCATTTAAAAAAAGGTATTTATAACATGAAAAAAGGGAACTATATTTTTCACAGCATAAAAAAACAGAAAGTATTACCAGCTCCACTTCTGACAGACCAAAAGTATTGCAAGCTATATTCATCCACTCCTCCAATTCTTGATAAACATTGTCCACTAGTTGTGAATTGTCATCACTGCCGACAGCTTCTACTATTGTAACCTTCATAATATTTACACAAATAAAAAAATAAGTGAAAAGTATAAACATGTATAAACATTGAAATAATTAAACAACTCACACTAATTGAAGAACCAAAGTAAAATTTCCAAAGTCCATCCTTAAGACATTTTTTATTTTCATTGAGAAGAAATGCCCAGCAATCCAAAATACTACTGCTCCTGATTTCAGAAGGCTCTCCTAATGTGTAGAAGTCTTTGCCTTTGAATCAAATGCTTTTTGTGAAAAAAATACCAACAGTTCACCGAGTCAAAGAGTATAAAATAAGAATTAAAAAGGTGTTTCATAAATAAATAAATAAGAGAAAATCAATTTAATCAAATAAAAGATTACTTACTTAGGAGCCAAACAAGAATAATTAATAATGCAATAGTCAACAATCACTAGGACTAATGGATCCAATAGCTTCATTTCCTTGTTATTTGACTTCAAAAGGTGTGAAATAACTATAAGCTTTTCATCAGTTTTCCAATCAAAAGAAATCAAACACTTGGATCCTCCATTTGCAAGAATATTTCAAAGCCAATCACAGGAAAAGTGCCTCTAATTGCCTCTCTCCCTTCATTTAATTTGTTTTGTTGCAGTCAAATGTGAAAACTTGATCTAACACCTCGAGCATTTTTAATCGTCACCCAAATAGCAAGTTCGGAGATCTCATCAATCACAGATTGAACTTGAGGATCCAAAAAAAACTGATCATCCTAGGACACATTAATACCAGGATCGTTGTTGGTCTCATTACGGCGTGAAAGAAGAATCTGTTTTATCTTGTCATTGTAAAAACAAGAAATCACATTCATATCTCTTTTCATGAAAAAAAATTGTTCATGAACGGGCTGCAAAGACATTAAAAAAAATCATGTATAAATATTTAAATCATATCCAATAATTAAAAAAAAAAGAATAAAAGTCAGCTACTCCTTACATCAATAGCAGCCGAATGGATCTCTTGATCTGACATCAAACCTGGTGGGAGAATGAACTGTATTGTACCAGGTACATCATTACCCCCCCCCACCGACATTATCAACATTCCCCATACTTCCCCCTGTAGTATACCCACATGACCTGAAACTTCAGCTTACCACTAACAGGATACACATCACAGAGTAAAATCCTACACCCAAAACTTTTGGACAATTTTTCCTTCTTAATTATGTCCCTTATCAACTCATTATTCCAATGTTGAATTAAGGGTAAAGAAGTACTTAATTCAACATTCCTAAATTTCAACCTATGGAAGTAAATAATCTCCAACATAAAAAAATGCAACCACAACAGTTCTGAATTTCTCCTTTTTTGTAACTTTTAACACCTTCACGCAGTTTTTCAAGAACATATTTACACCAATTCAAATTCTTAATTTGCCCAACATCATCAAGTGCCTTAGTGTAGACACCTAAAATCTCCCTAAAACCAAACCCGGTGATGAACAACCTTTCACCGCCATTATTGGTCGGGTTGATTATCTAATCTTTGGAGTCCTTAAATCCATGTTCTATCCAATACATTTCATAAACCAACCTATTTCCTAGCTCATTTCCCTAAACCATAACTTTTTTTCCTCTTTTCGTGTCCACATCACAAAACCGAGAGAAACTGATTTCTTGGTCTTTTAATTTTGATCCAATTATTATTTGGTTGGATAGTCCTTGAAATAAGATTTCCAACCATATATCATAAGCCCAATTTCGATTTAAAACGAAGAAGATATGAGCAAAGCACTAAACTCAACCCAAAATCGACACCCTTCTACTAAAACGGCCTGATTCCAATTGGGTTGAAAATTAGACTTGATAAGCTTTCCAATGATATATTATACTTTATTCTAAGTTATGGATCAAAGATTATGATAATTTTAAAAACGCGAAAAAACTGGAAATACCGAGCAGCAGCTAAAATGTCGTGACGCGGCAAATGCTGACGTGTCACGGGGCATATTGCCGTGACACGATGTCTTTTTGTGTATTTCTGCCTTTTCTTCACACGTTAAATCCACCGTGTCACGAGAATATTGCCGCGCCACGGGATTTTGCACCGTGTCACGATACAATTTCCCGTGTCGCGGTGCCCATTCCGTGACACGGGGCTGTTCCGTGTAATTTCCGCGCATTTTTTTACCGTGACACTGTGTACGACACCGTGTCATGTAATTTTTCTGTGTCCTTTCCGCGTAAACCCTTTACGCGTTTTATCTCCTGTAACCTAATTATTTCCAGCGTCACTCAGTTTTCCCTCGTGTCACGGGATTTTTCCCTGTCTGATGCCTGGCACCGTGTCGCGGCGTGCATTGACGTTTCAGGGTGTTATTTTTTAGGGTTTTTATCTTTTTAGGGTTCCATGTGTTCCCTTTACTCATTTTCCCTATAAATACCCCCTTATTTATGATGTACGGGACATAAAATCCTTCACTCTTTCTCTATTTTACACCAAAAATCATTCTCTTTTCTCTCTCTCTCTCTCTCTCATATTCTAAGCCTTAAACCTATATTCCTAATTACACTATTATTCCCTTAAGCACTCCAAGGAGTCTATACTTAACCCGAGGCTCCGTCCTTAAACCAAGGCGTGAAAGGTACAAATAACTGAGGGTTTGGACCAAATTAAATCAACATTTATTTAATTTAATTTTCATTTGATTTATATATTTTTTTTATTGAAGTTACTAACAATTTATTCATGATGTAGCAATTTAAAGGAATATGCAGAATGTGAGTAATTAATTAATTTAATTACTATTATTTTATTTTAATATTGCTAGTATCATGATTAGGTTAATTTATATTTGATTTGACTGACGATATTATTAAATTGCTTCCAATAATAATGTTTATTCTATTATTTATTGATCACCATATTGCATATTAAAGGGAATATGTAATTGGAAATCACGCCTAATAAGATAACTTGGACAACCGGTTTAGGTTCCTTTTTAATCTTGTTGTTTAATCAAGTGGTCACTAATATTTTAGAATTATATATGTTGTATTAATATTCAACTAATTTAGCATAATAATAGTTTGGAGCGAATTGAATATTTTATTTTCCTGCCTTTGAGATCGCAGGATTCACTTTTCACTATAAGAATCGAGTAGAGGCCAATACGGGCGAATGTGACTCCATGACTCACTTCGTACCATCATCCTCGATCCTCCTTTCATGGTTTCGAACCATATCGAGTTAGTAATCTCATGGATTATGAATGGGTTGTAACCTTCACGAGTCAATCGTTGTTGCCTTTGGTTGTCCCTTATTCGTGGTTGCCTTAAATGATCCGTGAACGGTTTACAAGTTCCTTAAAAACTTGTTGGCGGCTCCCTACTTTCCTTGTCCCTAATCGTTGTCCCTAATCGTATATGTCAATTCCTACTTCCTAAGAGTGCCAAGCATATTCACCACATGCTTTTAACGTAGGCGCACTTCGAACGACGCCTACAATTTGGCGACTCTAAGATCAGCGGTTCTTATAGAAGTAGGAGCTAAAAATGTGGATACTGCATGCATAACAAAGAGTTGCTTAAACTCATGTCCACCTTGACCTAAAGTAGGTACCCTTTCCTCTAACAAATTAAGTGGAATTTGGTCATTTTCATCTGGTCAACCCAAAATTCAACCTCCAATTATGTTTGAAAACAAAGTCAGGATTATTTTTATTAGCAGATCGAGGTATCTCCTCAACATTTTTGGGGTTCAAAGGAAGGAAAAACACATCATACTCAGTAACCACAAACTCCTTACTATTATCAATTGAAAACATGCAGCTACCATAGTCAAAACAATCAATTAGCCACCTGTACATACTAGTAGGATTCCTTTTCAACTTCAATGTAACAAACCCTCCAAAACCGATTTCATTTACAGAAATTTTTTTTATCATCAGTAAACTTAGAAATCATGTCAACCAAATGCAAAGGCCTACATTTAGTTTTAAATGGCCGCAATCTGCAAAATAGAAATAATAATGCATAGTCACACAAACATGCATGTTGAATCTAACTTTTTGAGAGCACTCCAACGTAAATAAAGTTACTTACGTAGGTACATCACCACCAGCTTCAACTATTGATTTCTTCATTCTTATCCTTGGCTTCTTAACACGAACAAGAGCAGTAGCTTCAACTCTAGGTTCGGGTTCATCTTCACGAGTTCTCTTTTGGCGAGATGAAGGTGAACGTGAACCAGTTGCAGAAACTGGATGTTCATGAACCTCTCTAGAAACATCTTCTTCAGCAACACTCTTTTTCTTTTTAGCTCTAGTATTCTTCTTCAAGCCTTTGGCACCATTTGTATACAAAAGAAATCAAAATGTAAATTATAGTGACCTTACTGAAACAATAGTGACTAGAAAATTCAAGACCGTGACATGTCATTGTAAAGTGCACGTTTACGCAGCATATATGATACACATGGAGCACTAAAAGCAGAACCAAAAATAATCAGCAATGCTACTTTAAAAAAAAAAACTGAACAGTTAACATGCATGATAAAGAGAGATTAGCTTTAAGTCAACTAATACATGCTGAGAGTGCATATAACAAGAACATAACAATATGTGCTCCACGAGAAGTAAAAAATAAAAACAAGAGCTAAGAATCTTTTATACACAATTGCAAGAGCACTTTGATCTTAGTATTCAGTCTACTTAGAAATATTGCACAGGAAGTTAGGGAAAGTAGAAAGCACGAAGTCAACTGACTAAAAACTAAACACGTAATGAAGGACTCGAGCTATGGAAAACATTCGATAACTATGTGAAGCAGTGAAACAATTACAAGATTAAAAGGGCAAATGTAAGATTACTTGTAGAAATTAGGTTCCTAGACTTGTAAACGCTCAAGATCATTGATTTTACCAGAAGATACCAATGATTTAGCACTAGGAACCTTAGTTTAAACTTTATGTGTTAGTGTTATGCATAATGATTGTGAAAAAAGACTGAAGGTGTACAAATAGATTATACTAAAATCCCTTAAAACAAGCACATTCTGCTAAAATCCCCTAAAAACTCAAACTCTCTAAAATCCAATACCAAAAATCAACCGATTAGTACAATTTCATCCTCATATATAGTTAGTTCAACAGATTACAATATACTAACAATTCCACATAATCATATGAATCAACACACAAAACAAAAAACAGAACCATAACATATTACATATTAAAGACTAGTAACATCATCAAGCACAAGTCATCATCAATTTAATTTTCAATCAAAATTCAACGAGAAAACAAACAGCTAAACAATCTTTTGAACTATAAAAACAAAATTCAATCAAACATTTATAGGTTTTATGTGTTCTATCGAACAATAAACATAGACAACAATCGAACATCGAACATCGAAAAAACCTTAGATCTTCAATAAGAAAAAAGATCAAACAAAAATTCATAAAAATAGTTTCAATTAAAGAAAAACAACAATTATTCAACACAAAATTGCACATATCATCATCAAGAACAACACATTATCAATAAAATTGAATGAGAAAACAAAAAACAATCAAAATTGAACGAAATAACAATCGAACATCGCAAAACCCTAGATCTTCACTACGAAACAAAATTCATACAAATAGTTTCAATTTAAGAAAAACAACAATTAATCAGCTCAAAATTGCACAAATCATCATCGAGAACAACACATTATCAATAAAATTGAATGAGAAAACAAAAAAACAATCAAAGTTGAACAAAATAACAATCGAACATCGCAAAACCCTAATCTTCACTATGAAACAAAATTCAAACAAAAATTCATACAAAAATTCATGCAAATAGTTTCAAAATAAGAACAACAACAGTTAACCAGCTGAAAATTGCAGAAATCTAAAGATAATCAAAGATTACCAGAAGGTGGTGGTTCGTCGACTTTTGTAGCCGAAGAACAAAGGTCACGTTTTCTTTGAAATGTTGCACCTCCTCTGGTTCTCGCCATTGAAGAATTCGAGCTGAAGAGAGAGAAAATGCAAGAAGGGAAGAGAGAGAGAAAATGTCAGCTTGTTTGTGAAAATAAAGGAAAGAAATAACCTGATGCAATTAATTTGTAAGAAGTTAGTTGGGTGAGTAATGGGTGAGTAAATAGTCACGTGAGATATTTGGTCCACAATAATGTTATTGTGGACCAGGTTTATTTAAGAAACCTCCGGTACATATTATATACAACTTCTGCCAAAAATGGAAAGTTAACATGCAACTTTTCATTTTTTTTCCTTTTTTAGTAATTTTTTTGATGAAATCCCTCAAATACCCTTACTCAAAATATCATAAAAACAACTAAGCAACTAAATAATAATAATTTAAATTAATTAACATAATTCTTCTCCATAAATTCAATTTACCCAAAACAAAATTCAATAAACAATTAGCTTCCATTTATTCACCTTCCATCACCCATTCATCTTTCACAGTACAACTCCTCTGACCACACCTTAAACGTCACCGGCCACCACCACCTTCAACTTCACCAGCCACCACCACCATTAACTTTGTGTGCACTTTCATTCTCTCTCTGGCGCTTTCGTTTTCACTCTATCACAAGAATCATATCCCCATTTTCTCTCTCTTCCTCTCTTAATCAGATCTTCATATGATGAAGTAGGGGTGGTTGGGCTTATATTGGGTTGTTTATTAGGTTTTTAGGGTAGGTTCGAGTAGATCGGGGTTAGTAATGGAATGTAGATGTGTTTCGACTGGTTTTGGGGGTTTTCGAGGTGGGTTCGACGGGACTTGGTCGGGTTAGTGGTGGTGTGGGTTCAAGGTGGTTTCGGCTGGTATCAGGTTGGTTCAGGGTGGTGTCGGGTTTTGGGTGGGTTTAAGGTTGGTTTTTGGTGGGTTTTCGGGTGGGTTCAGGGTTGTTTTTGGTTGGTTCGGGTGGTTCAGGGGTGGTTTAGAGTGAGTCAAGTGGTTTTGCGGTGGTTTTGGGTGAGTATGAAGGAGTTGTGTCTTCGATAAGTGCAATTACTAGATATATCAAGGATCACTATTATGGAGATAATAAGTTCGTTCTCTTGGGACGTCATCATCTGTTGCTAGACTATGAGAGATGATCTTTGGGCTAGTCAAATGGTCCAAAGCCCGCTAGAATGGATCCTATGAGGTCACACACAAGGGTATTGGGTTAAGCAAGTTAGAGGCCCATTAATGGGCCTCATGAGCAATTAACTAATCATGAAATGGATTGGGCTAACATAGTTAGATTGGAAATAAGTTTTGGGCTTTTGACATGGGCTCTTACTTAGAGATGAGATCTATAAATAAGATCCATGCCTAGGGTTGCAATTAAGTAGTCATAATTCACACACAGTGAATTTTGACATCAAGGCAACCAATCCCAAAACCCTTATTCCCTCTCTAATTCACGGCTCCCTCTCCTTTCCCTTTGGACTCGCGGCCGGCCACCCTTGGTGGCGCGTGTGGTGGTTCATGGTGGTTTATGGTGGTTCGTTGCTCGCACTTCTCCATATAAGGTCAATTGAAGGGTTCAATTGCAACTAACTAGCATTAGAGGAGGTCTTAATCTGTGCTCGTGGACCAAGTAGAGGAATCACGCTTGAGGTTCTTTATCTCCCATTGTTCTCGCTCGATCACACGTGGAATCACGCTTCAAAGGTACGATTATATGTTCTTTATGTGTTATGCATTAGATCTTGGGATTAGGTACTGTATGAATATGATTCATGTTTATTCCGCTGCATAGTACCTATAATTCCTTACAGAGTAGTGTTGGCTTTGGGTTAGTTTTGCGGTGGTTCAGTGGTTTTGGGTGAGTAGTGGTGGTTTCGGGTTAGTTTTGCGATGGTTCAGGGGTGAGTGGAGGTGGTGCGACGGAGGCTGCAGTTTGGCTATGGTGGTAGCCTGCTGGGTGGTGGTTAATTATCTCTATTATCTCTTGCCCTTAATGACATACTCTTTTATTCACTAATTAACTTTTATGAAATTTTTCCTTGGGTTCCGTGAGAGCTCCAAAGTTACATATAATGTGTATCGGAGGTAGTACATACTCTTTGTTTTATTTTTATTTTATAATTAAATACGCATTGTTTATTTTTCACCTCACTTTCATCACGATGATCGATGAAGAATCAAATTTTATGACCTCTACTAAGACGGATTTTACAACCCCTACTAAGACGAATTGTCTTTTACTCATATTATCAATATTTTTTTGTATCTTTACTACTTACGGTATTTGTTTCCCTTATCTTCTTACTCGGAGGTCCTGAATTTAGATTCGAGGTTGATTCTCTTGAGGTGAAATCATCAACGACTAACAATGATAGTGTAGGTTTGGATCTCGATGTAACCCTTTCCCTAATTAACAAGCAACCAATATTGTTCGAGTCATTGTTCATGATATTACTTGCTTACAACAATGATGAATCTGTCCTCTCCTCGATTACACTTGATACTTTTTACGAAAAGAGTCATAACTAGAAAAAAAAATGCAAATTGGGATGGCAGTTGAGAATTTTACAAATAAGGAACAAAACTTCAAACTGGAGTTCACTTTAAAAAATTGCAGGTCATTATCGGAGCATTAGGGACCAACGAGAAAGTGATATGAGCCGTTTCAAGATTGCTTGCAAAGGCATTAAAGTCTTGTTAATTACATCCTCGTCTAATATCACATCAGGATATATGCTTAATGGGCCACTCCCTTGCAAATGAGTCAATATGACTTCCATTAAGGGTATGTTCTAATAGACTGAAATCAACTGAACTGAACTGAATTGAGCTAAACTAAAATGAATATTTTATAAGAGAAGGAAATTAGGAGCGGAGATGAACTGAAAATAAATGTATGAGAACAGGCCCTAAGTCAAATAGTTGTTAGCTTATGTGTTTTTTTTTCTTTTTTTTTTCTTTCCTATAATCCGATCTGATAATTACTTTAAATGACTTTTAACGGTACTAGTTATCACAACTCTACTACTTATACATCAAAATAAATTATTTTAACAGTTTAAAAGCCCACCATGCTTCGCAATAATAATTATTTAACTAGAGAGTTTTGACCAATACTTGAACTTAGTCGACAATGGAACCTCCGGCGTCTGAGCTTCCGGCTTTATCAAGGTAGCTAACCCCAACCCTGTCTTCCTTAGATCAGACTCAGCACAGATCTAATTCGTTTCCTACCTTAGATTGTAATCTCTAATTAGACAATCCTTTTTGTGTTTATGATGGAACTAAATAGACAGATAACTCATTTGATATATAAGGTTCAAGAGGATAACGTTCCCTTCTTGAACGAAACTTTTATTTAATTTGAAAAGATTACATCACTCATATATTACAACAAACACACAAACTAAAAGCTTAAACATACATAAGCTGAACTAGAGTTTTTCTCTACTTTAAGAGAGATGGAGAACCAATCTGTCTCTTAAGGTGAGTATTTTTCTCTAGAGGACTCTCTAATGCTTTCAGAGCAATTCTCTAGCTAACTCTTCCAACCCTGCCTTCACTTCTTGACCTAAGTCCCTTTATACAGGGAAGCAAATTTACATAGGATCCTTATCCTGACTCAGCAAGCAATTCTACACCATTGCTTTTTTACAAAGATACTTTAAGACAGAAACAATTAATAAAACGTGGCTACAGTAAAGATGCCTTGAATTATTGCTGGTGTAGGCTCATGCATTCATAATTTCATCCATCATCATTTCTTGTAGGCCTCCCTCACTATCTTTACTGTCTTCGTAAATAGGATTCTCTCTGCAAAGGTCTGCGACACACTTGGCTGCATACTCTTCATCCCAACTCATGAATGCTTCAAACAGATACTCATAGCCTTCAAATGATAGAAACTTTCCTCTTTCGATATCTTCTAAATATTTGTAGATTGACTTGGTATTGTTTATGCCATCTACTAAATATTCTTTCATCTCATTAGGTGCCACAATTGTTGTGTTACCAACACAAAATATGACAAGAGGGATTTCTTTCCTTTTTATAAAATCGTTAAGATATTGTGAAATGTAGAAAAATCCCAATGCTCTTGCTTCAGTTGGATTTCTAACCGTCTTCTGACGAATTAGTATGGGATCTTTGCAATACCTCACTCCCCCAAATACTATTAAGTAATGCGGGGGACTAACTTTTCCTTCTTTAACTTCGATGTTAGCACATTGTACCTTTACGCTTAACCGAAATTCGTCTTTTTTGTCTTCACAATATTTTCGAACCTTGTTGAATGCGTACTGCTGGAACTTGGTAAGTCTTGGAAAGAAAGAGTCATTAGGAGTAGGGAATTCATAAAAATCATGTACCATTCCATAATCCCAAGCCTTGTAATGTATACTAATGAATGGAGCATTTTTATTAAGAGGATATGGGTAGATTCGCAATGATGCAACTTTAGAGTTTTTGGGAAACTCTACTCTTTCTCCCCATAGATCTCGAAGATCAAAGAATTTACTGGACCTTGTAGCCACCAACTCGTACCATGTCCTAAAATCATTATCTCTTATTTTGTTTAATATTATATCTCGTACATCAGGAATGAGCTGAAATAACATAATTGTTATCTCGAACATCAATATCCTTTGGACTGCCCGATGGCAACCCTTAATTAAACCATCTCGCGAACGTTGTTTTGCTGATATGATCAAGCCTTGCATTAAGGCCCAACTGGAGGGTGAAACCCGCTCCATTGCCTTCTCGGTCTCATCAATGAGATTTTTCCACTCTACATCCATCTTTTGAAGTTGGTATGCAGGAGGTTTTTGTGTAGTCTTGAGCTTCTTGGACGACATTAGCTAATTCTCTGGTCAAGTTGTCTGCCAAAGAATTATTTGTTCCCTGTATATGTTCAACAGTAAAAGAGAATTGGTTAAGCCATAATTGCCAACGCAGGAGTCTCCCTTGCGCTTACATATTAGACAAATTCTTTTTAACAAAACCGAGTATGCCTTTGCAATCTATTCTTATTAAGAACTGTTTAGGGGCTAAGAAGATTAAAAACTTCTCGAT